TAAACATTGATTCAAGGTTCAAACAGTACTTTAGTTTAATTACATATCAGATACACTGTAAAAAAAAAAAAAAGTTATGTTTTTCATCACCTTGAACAATTTACTTATTTACAGATCTCGCCGTTTTGATAGATTGCAGATAATAACCAGTAAAACCACAGAAAAAAAAAAGTTTTTGATTCACTAGTTAACCATTAAAAAACAGACAAAAAACGTCCACAATGTCCACTTAAAGAAAATCTGTATTTTTACAAAAAATTATTTGTTCTTTAACAATTTGTGACCTTTAATTTGCACTGCTGTACGGTAATTAAATCGGCTGAAACTATCATCATTTTACAGATATCTGTCGTTATTTGAAAGAAAAACTATGCATATTTAAAACTGAAGAAATAGTGCGTCTTTAACTGTTGTTCTACAGATTTTCCTTGTTTTGTTAAATTACAGATAATATCCAGTAAAATTACGTTTAAAAAAAAATAAGTAAAATGTGCTCACTGTAAAACAGGTCAAAACTATAAATAATGTCCACATCAAAAATCTGTATTTTGTTTTAAAATCAGCTAAAAATATTATTTTACTGATATTTGCTATTTTTTCTCTTTACAATATTTTGTCATGTTTTTTTTTTCCTTCATTTTTTTTTTTTTTAACTTATTTGCTAAACTTTTTCTTTTTTTTTTTAATAGGTACATTGATGATTTTTCCAGAGTAACTACAACATGACTGGGATCATTTTTCACTCAGAGCTCCTGCTGCCTGACTTTCACTGCTCTTTACGCTGTTTTTGTTTGTTTGTTTGTTTGTTTGTTTACAGTGTATAGCCACATCACGTCTTCATAAACTGCTTTTCAGGAAACGTAAACTTCCAGGATCATCTGTTGATCCCTGAGCAGTGCTGCTCTCTGACAGCAGCTCACTGACTGATCTGAACAGAACCGTGGCCACAGTCCGAGCAGCGGATCTGCAGCCTCCACATGCAACAACAGAGTAAAAAAAAAATGCAGGCTGTGCTGTTTGAAAGGTTACAGGGAGTCAAGTTAAAAATTCATAGCGCCTAAAATAGGAACCAGAGCTGAGCTGCGCCTCCAGGCTGCACTGAAACCGACAAGAATCCTGCAGAACCTTTGCACCAAAGTTCCTCAAATCAGAATTCATTATCCCCGCACTGCAGAGGATCCATTAGCGGTTTCATGCACTCAGACATCTTGACTGCACCCCTCATTCTGTTACTGGTCCCAGTGGACCTGCTCCATCCGAACAGAACCAGAGCACCAGGGTGACCCGGAGGCAGCAGGCGGCCCAGGAGCCTCCCGCTGCAGCTCCAGGGCCCGGACCAGGAGGAAAGTTGGTCCCCTCAGTGATGGACTTGATCAGCTGTGGATCTGTTGATCGTCCGCTGAGCTGTCAGCTCCGGAGGAGACGAGCTGAGCTGCAGCTTCTGCGCATCGCCGCACCTGAGCGGAACCGCAGCGCCGCACCTGAGCGGAACCGCAGCGGTGCACCTGAGCGGAACCGCAGCGCCGCACCTGCAGGGCGGCCGCGTCCTCCGCTCACTTCGGCTTCTGGTTTCTTTTTTTTTTGCAGCAAATCATGTGACTAACAGCGATGCGGCAAAACTCTGAGCAGCTTCTATCCCCGCTTTACTCACGCCAAAAATCTCCAGGTCGCTCCCAGGTAGAGGCTCGGTCGTGCAGCGGTACCGTCGGCGGATCCGTCCCCGTCAGACCAACTCACTGAGCCTCCATCCTCCTCCTCCTCCTCCTCCTCCTCCTCTTCCTCCGCAGCGGGAGTCGCGCCTGCGTCCTGCGGGATGCTGAGCCGGTCAGACCTGGAGCGAACCGGGCCGAGAGCAGGAACCGGCAGCCCGCATGTCTGTACAGCAGCAGCAGCAGCAGCGGCGGTACCGGAGGCTGCGGGCGGCTCCGGGGCGCAGACTGAGCTCGGTGCTCGGTGCGCAGTGGAAGGAAGCGGAGTGAGTGCGGAGGACGTGCTGCTCCGGTCCTCCCCTCAGACTGGGTTTATGTCGGTTTATGATGCGGCTCGTCTCATGTGGAGCCTCAGACAGAAACACGATCCGAACCAGGAGAGGTTCTGAGCTGCTGGAGGACGCGTCTGTCCAATAAAATCTACATTCACATCTTAAAAAAATAATCCTGTCTGAGCTCAACGACTGAAATGAAGTTTGATTTCATCTTTTTGAGTTCAGACAACTTTGAATGAAATGAAGTTCAACCAACAGACAGAGTTGGAGACATTCAATCAGCCACATGTTTATAAATGATTGGCAGCATGAATATAAACCCTTTTAAGGTGCTTACTTAAAATCAAGCTGCTCCAGAAACATCATTTCAAAATGAGGTGTTTTTGTTTTTATCATCATAAACAAAAGTTCTTTGGTTGACAAACATTTCAAACATGAAGCTGCTCCAGTTATAGGTTTCTTCAGGAGATTTTATTCTGTTGGAAACACCATCCAGACCATCAAAGTTCAGACCAATAAACTACACAGGGTTAGCTGAGTTAGCATTTCCAAGTTATTTCAAAGGATTTTCTAAGTGTTACGTACTTAATTATAATAATTATGAACACAAGCATTTCAGCTGACAAACGCTTCGAACATTAAGTTGCTCCAATTAGATTTACTTAAGTCGTTTTGGCGGTTCATGTAGATTTATTTCTGTTTATTACGCAGGTTGTTCCATGTAGAGCCTTTGAGAGAAACACCATCCAAACTATGAAAGTTCATGAAATTAAGTTCAACCAACAAACTACACTGAGTTACAGGAGTTAGCTTTTCCTTTTCAGTCATAGTGATTTTTAATGACTTAATAATTTGTGGCATAAACACCAGTTTTTAAGGTGATTACTCATAAATATTAACTT